TCATCAGGGCTGCGCACCTTGAATGCGTTTTGTGGCATAAGGCCAAAGTACAGATGACTTAAACTCTCACGAAATGCAATATTCTTTCACAAATGCATTAAAACCCTTGCACTGGCTTATTACTACTAAGAAGTGAAAATTACTTGAAAACTAAGGAGGAAGAGAGGTTTCCTAAGATAGGGTCCTAGGGGTCAGGCACCTTGACAGCCAATAAGAAGCCTCCATTTGCAAATAATGTTCAAAAGACACATCTTAGTATAGTCAGCCTGGAAAAGGGCTCTGAAATCTGAAAGCAATTGGCTCTTCCTGTATTGCCAAAGGGCAAACGTTGAAGTAAAGCCCTAGAAGGTTAGATCATGTCAGCATATAGACTGTTACACCAGTCTTCTGGGTTTGCATGAATACTATTTTCTCATTTTCCTAAAAGATTACACAAGGTCTTATGCGTTTATAAAAGAATTTTTAACACTTTTGGGTGAACTTGGCTTTTAAAAATTTGCCTTCGAGGATGAAGGCTCCAGGGTAGCTGCAATCTGGCCCTTCTAAATCCTTCTCTCCCAGAGAGAGACACATTTGTAGATGATTAGAGAACTTCAGGTGGGAACTTTACTCTGCCTCTGGCTTTATGCCTTAAAATATGACCTAAGGCAAGCTATCATTTCCCAGAAATGAAATATGTCATATGTTACTATTAAAGTGAACCAGAAAAAGAGCATTCTATTACAATAATGGGTTTTGTTTTTTTTTTTAAAAGTAAATGTCAAATGCCCAAAGGAATAATACATATTTGATACTATTATTGGAACAGCAATGCCAGGAACTGCATGAGGTACTTATATTTAGTACTATTCCTATAGTAAAGGGATTTTATGTAAACCTTTCAGTAGAATTATTGTGTCAGAGGAAAATGAGATACAGCATTACTCATTATTCATGCAATCAGTATACATTTATTGGAGGTGACTGTGTGTCATTTATCAGTCTAGATGCTGGGGATGCAAAAATAAAATGAATAGAACATCTTCCTGCCTTCAAGGAACTCACATTCCATTTGAAGATACAGATATAGCAACCAACTACAATGCAATGTCAAAACTGCTGTAATAAAGATTCCAACTGGTCTGTGAGAGTACACACTACAGAGAATGATTCTTCAAACAGGAGTCCTTGCTATCCTTAGTGGCCTGTTAAAGCTGAGCTGGATCTTCACATATTCATCTTTCAGGATGTAGTGTATATGAAGCAGATGGAACAGCATGGGCAAAGATGTTGCAGCAAAAAAAAAAAAAAAAAAAAAAA